TTCTTCTTCTATTAATTATCATATTAAATACTTTTTTCTTGAGTATGTGTTTACTTGCTGCTATAATAATAGCTTCTTCTATTACATCCTATATATTGTTTATCTTCTTCATTTTCTTCTTCTCATCTTGTTTTTTCTTACAAATATCTTTTAAAATCTCTTTTATTTCTAATTATTTCTGTAGCTCTTGTGCATAATTTTTCCAATCTTCTAATTTCATTTGATTATATAAGTATATTGTTCTTGACTGCCTCTTTAAAGTCTTGTTTTTTCATCTAATTGAAAATTGGCAGTCTTTTGTAGTTTGTTGTTTGTGAATGTTGTCTGTTTAGGATATTGTCTACTGTGTGATTAAAATCACCTATTATAATAATTTATGTTTGTCTCTTCCTTTTTAAAATCATTTCTATAATTTTTTGTTGAATGTTTTTTTCTACTACTTTATTATTTAGTGATATATATGCTGTGATTACAACTAATTCTAATTGTTTGAAGTATAGTATAATCTCTATCATATATTTACTTATTTTTTTAACTGCTTTTATATGTTTTTTCTATTGTTTGTCAATTATAATTCCAATGCCTGAACCTTTTTTTTTATCTTTAGCTGCATTTGTCCAAAACTCTACATATCTTTTGCCTATCATATATGTTAAAAACTTTACTTTTCTTTCTATAAGATTTGTTTCCATAATTCCTAATATTGTAATTTCTTCTTCCTCTACCCAGCCAAGCAGATTTTTCAATTTCCAATCTTTGGTCTTAAGTCTATTCACATTGTGATATGCTAGTTTTATTTCTTTTTTTCTGTTTTTTTATCTTTCTTTTAATGATTTGTGTTTTGTCTCTGTACTTTTCAGTTTTGCTCTTTTTCTACTACATATTTTTTCTTTTTGACAAGGAGTTTCTAATTCTCTTCTTTCTTTAAACACCTCTCTTTTATTTTGCAAGAACTCTTCGATTTCTTTGTCTATGTTCATTAGTTCAACTATAATGTCTTTAGGAGTGATCAGCTAGGTCTTTTCTTGTACCTAGCTGTATTTTCTCTATTTTGTCTAGTTTATCCAAAATTTGATACAAAACATCTTTTATTTGTACTGTTCTTGCTTAATTCTGCAGGACTGCTTTGGTTTTCTTTTTCTTTAGGTTATTTTTTTTTACTTCTATATTAGCATTTTTGTTTTCTAAGCATTTTTCTATATTTTGTATTTAGGAGTCTAAACCTATCTTACTATATCTTTTACTTAACCTTTTTTGTATTATGTTTCTATTCTAGATATCTCTTATTATTTACTATTTACTTTTGATCTTTCTTGTTTTCTTCTTCTTGATTCATCTTTTTTTTATTTTTTTCTTTTTCTAGGATTTTTTCAACTTACTCAGTAGTTATTGTATCATATTGGTGTTGTTTGAGCTTCTTCTGTTACTAGAGCATTTGCAAAAGTGATTATTGCAAACTTTTTTTGATTTCCATTTCTGTTATATGAGATGTATACTGCTTTTGCATCTTTCTTCTTTAGGCATTATAACAGAAGCACTTTTGAGACTCCTCTTAAGATGTTTAATAATTTATCTATATGCTGTCCTTGCTTATCTTTTTGGCCATAATCTTCATCTCTAATTGTTATATATGCTAGTTTGTTATTGCCAAGTGGCAGTACTCATGAAATATTTTCTTCTTTCTCTAAGCTTGCTACTATTACTGGCAATGTCTTGTATAGTGATTTCTTGACTTATATAATGTTCAAGTTTTTGAATTTTTTGTATATATATTTAATCTCGTTTTCATTAATATTTGGTGATAGATCCTATATAGTTAAACATTTTTCCTTTTGCAATTCCTTTTCTTTGTCTTCACTATTTTCTATTACCATACTTCTCTTTATAGCATCTTTTTTTTTTTTTTTCTTGTTTTTTTATTTCTCTTGTTCTTCTTAATTCTTTATCTTTTCTCATTTGTTTTATATTGTTTTCTTTTTCTTTTTTAGTATTGTGTTTCTCTTGATACTCTGTTTCTTAACTTTTACTTTTATTTTTTCTGGAATAAGTTTAAGCCATTCATCATCTTTTTTCCTAATTCTGTTTATTGTCATATCTCTGCTATATTTACAATCAAAGTCTACTTCTATCTAATTATTTCTATTTTTGAATACTTTTTTGATTGTTTTGATATAATAATTATTTTCTAAGATCTACTGGATATACTTTACTTTTTCTTCTTTGGATTTATCTGATAAAGCATAAGTTGGCATATTTGTTTTAAAGGATTTGTTCTTGTTGCATATTCTGTTTTCTGAATACCATCAACTATGCTTAATTGTATATGCTAAAAATAAGATACTGGTTTTTTTATCAGTTGGTTCTTCTTCTTGTTCTTCTAATTCCATGTTTGTGTTCTTACTGTTTTCTTCTATTCCCTACACTACATTACTTTTTAGCATTTCAGATTTATTGGCCATTTGACTTTTTTAATAATATAGTATAGTGATACTAAGACCTTTTATTTGTTTTTCTAATATTTCAAGCTTTTGCTCATCGTTTGTTCTTCTTTCTTCTTGATGTGTTATTTCTTTGTTTATATTTGTGTTATATTCAAATAAGCCTAAATTGAAGCTTATTGACTTAAGCTTTACTGTCCACTCATCGATTATTTCTTCTTTAAGCTAGCTTGTTTTTGCTATTCTTAATGTTTTTAGTATTTGATCATATACTAACATATCATGTAATGTAATATGTTTTGGGTTATATATTGCTAATTCTTTAGCAATATGCTTTATATTATTTGGGTTCTGTGTAGGAGTTTTGAGAACTTGGTCTAGAATTCTACAATCTACATGTTTTTGATTTCTATCTTTTATTTTTCTAATATAGGATATAATATCTGCATTGCAATTTTTATTCATTGGTTTATATTCTAATGATTGGATTAAGATCTTCCTTTTTAGACTAATCAGTATCTATAATTAAACTTTGTAATATTTGTTAGTATCTTGTTAGTACTACATTACTGGTTCTATAATAGTGCTTGCTATTTTCTAATTAGGCACAAGACCTGTTTGTTTGTTGTTATTTATTGTTGCTATAGTTATTATATATTTTGGTTTTCATTTTTTAGAATAATGCCAATTCTCCAAAATTTATTATTTTTTTGTCAAAAGTATTGCTGTTTTTTGTTAATATCTTAATGCAGCTTTTTTTGTCTTTTACCTTTTACTATATTATATGTATTTTTTCCTAATACAGCTTTTTTGTTAATTGTCTAAAGAGTGTTTGCTAGTCTATTTCTTGTTATTTTTGAGTTTGTTTTTTTTTATTTTTTTTTGAAATCGAGGATCAGCAAGAAGAGTTGAACTTGCAATAAGCTATAATTAATTTTTATCTATTACATTATTATTATATATATTACTATATTATAATACTAAAATAATATTTTAAATTATATTTAATAATAAATAATATAAACTTTATACTTCATTGTATTTTAACTATCAATATACTTTAAGAGTTAATTATTTTGCTAATATATATAGAATTATAGTCAATTATATATATAACAGAAATCTGGGCTGACTAAAAAATTTTGTTATATAATGCATTCATTATATATATATATGACAAATTATACTGAACAAGCATAGAATTCTATTATATAAATATTTTATTAAGTATGTATATATATATATTACCATTTTATGTAATATAATTTACAGATAATTAACTACAGTAAACTACAAAGTATTAATATAATAAAGCTAATTTTAAATAACTTAAAAAATCTTGATAATTATATTTTAAATAATTATATAATATTAAGCATTAAGTTTATTAGTATTAGTCTAAATGTAATATGAGAGTAATTATTACTTTAAAAGCTAAATTTTTCTAGAAAAAGTTGAATTAGTCTGGTCTAATACAGAAATTGGCTTCTTGTAACAGGTTCTAAATAATAAATTTTTAGTTTAAACTACTGTAAACCAAATAAAAATTAGTATGCATACTTATTTTGAAATAAACCAAAGTTGCTTGTTCTATATAAATCCATACTATACAATTGTTTGAGTCAACTTGAAGTCAGCTTAAAAAAGTTTAAAATCAATTTAAAATTGACTAATCAGAGTATTTTAATATCTAGTCTCAAGTATATGCATATGTATATTTTAGATTTATTATCTTATTTCTATAAACTATAGTTAATAGTACATATACTGTATTACAAAAGATATATAGTACATTATAGTGCATTTGTAAAATATTTTCAAAATTTAAAAAATTTTAACTACCAATAGTGAGTCAATTTAATTAACTTTATATATATAAATATAAGTTAGAGTTATTGTTGCATAATTGTAAAATACAATATATTCTGATTTAAATTATAATATACTATATTATGTGATATAATTTGTTTTAATTTCTAATAAGATGCATTGTCAAAATGAATAAAAATTGAACAACAGGAAGATAGGTTAAATGATAAGAAAATGGGTTATATATTATAATGCAATAGTATTTTGATAAATCTAGGATGCAAAAAAAATCTTTGAGTTTTAATTTTGATTAATTAATAATAAATTTGATAATCAAACACATGAAAATATTTAGATTTGGTGACCAAAATATTTTTTAATTTTACAAATGTGCTGTAATGCTTAAATCAAGATCTAAGCTATTAATAATTGACATGTAAAACATGAATTATATAATAAAAAATTATTTGATAACTGTTATTTATTAATTTGAAAAAGCTCAAAGAACTGCACATACTTTTATTTCATCAATATATTATATTCAGCATAATCACTATAAACAATTTAAAGAAAATATTTTTAGATCTTTTAAAACTATAAAAATACAAATGTAATTGTTGATATACTTTAATTCTTAATAAGATGTGAAACTTCTAAATTTCAAAGCATAAAAAAAAAAGATGCAAAAAAAAATTAAAGCAAAAAGATAATACAAAAAAAGAAAAAAAAAACATTAATATAAAAAAAAGCTTTTTAATTCTCAATGTGAAAAAAACTTGTAATATTAACTTGTTTTTTTTGCAAAGCAGATAATCTTGAAATCTTCTGGCTTAACTGACAGATAGTATTTTTATTATTATCAGTAGCATTGAACTTATCTAATTGTTGCAAAAGATATGTTTTAATCAAATTAATAGCTTTTAAAGCATTATTATTAGCAATTTTAAGCACTAGTTCTATTATTTCTTTCTGAGAGAGTTCATTCTTATTTTCAATAGTACAGATTATATCAGCATTAAATGGCATCTCAAAAATAATTTTAGCATCAATGTTTATAAATTTATTTGCATTCATAAGATCATTAATTTTATTTTTTTGCCAAATTGGTTATCAAACTATCAAGCTCCTCACACTCTCTTTCTAACTTTATTTGTATTTGTTGACATGCCTAATTCATTTTAACTATTTGATATCAGGAAAGAATATCTGTCTTTATTCAACAGTTCATAATTGTTTCCTGAATAACATTGTTTTATACATCAGATGTAGCATTAATTGCATAAAGAATATTAAAACTATTGCATTCAAATGAACCTATTGCTTTTATTTTATCAAATGTAACAAGCTGATTCTCAATAAAAATACATTTATATTAGTACTTAAATGAGTTAATAATGCTAGCATTATATGGCTAGAAACTAGAAGTAATATTTTTTAGTATTTTTTTTAATACAAATATTGTCAAGTACCACTTGCTAAATATAAGTAGTGCAACAATCAACAAAAAGAAAAATTTTATGGTTTTGATGCTTCATAATTTGATCAATATAACCTAACCAGTTATTATAGGTAGAGATCTGCATTCATGTAGTTTTATTTCAATAATACCATATAGGAAGTTTATTTTTATTTAAATTTCTAAGAGGGCATGGATTTTGAACTATATAAATACATATAGAAGAAAGCTTTTCTGTTCTAATTGCATTTACTGCAAACATTACAGTTGCTCATACTTTTTCTTTTTTATAGTCTGAAACAGGTTCTTGTACAAGAGTTTTAGATAGATGCATTTTCCAATAAAGTGACATTTTATCTGCATTCCAAATATTCTTAAGAGTATTCCTTTTACAAAATTCTTAATAACATTCTTTGTGTTTATTTAAGATTTCAATTAAAAAAAAACTAGCAGCCTTGTCATTTCTATAATACTGATGAAGACCAAGTTATTCCTAAAATTCATTAATCTAATTAGTGCCTTTAAAATCTGAAATATTTAAAATTATTGTGAAAGTTTTAGTCTTGGTAAGAAGAGCTACTTGTGTAAGTTTTATATTTGCTGCAAGTGTATTTTCAATTCAGACATGCATAATCTCATCCAACATAGACCACTTTGGCTAGTGATTGTATTTATGGTTTGCTTTTATTTTATTTGTTATATCAATGTTTAACTATTTATCAGATTGTTTGAGAATATCAGATATGCATATCTTCTTGACACCATAATCCAAAGCAAGTTCAGAGTTCAATATAGAAAGAAACTTTTATTTTTTTTTACAAATTTCTTTCTTTTCTTTGGCTGTAAGGTGTTTTCTTTTAATAGAAAATACTTTAGTCAACATTTTAATATAGAAAAAATGAAACTTTGATAGATTCAATTTTTTTTTATATAAAAAAAAAATTTACCCTTATATAAAATCTGCATACATCTGCAACAAGACATAGGGTATTCATCAATATTGTTATAAATAAAGATAATTTTGAAAAAAAAATTCAAAAGCCCAGTTAAGTCATTAGAGTTAAACTCTAGAATCAGTGGTTCTACTCAAAACTGGAACATTTAGATGTTCTTTTTGTAAGTCTTTTAGTAAGATAGTAGAAGTAAGAAAAGATAGTAAAAGTAAAAATTATAATTTAAAATATAGGTATAGAAAGATTATAATAAAAATAAATCCTTTTAATAGTCCATATTACATCAAATATATTAATGCTTTTAAGATTTCTGAGCTCATAGTTTTAATATAATAAAAGAGTGAAGATTTTTTTAAAAAATAAAAAATAAAAAAAAAAAATTCAAAAAAAAAAATTCAAAAAAACAAAAAAATTTATTGAATAAAAATAAAAAAAAAAAATTTAAATGAAAAATAACTTAAATTAATAAAAAAATTAACTTTCAAATTAAAAAAAATTGACTTTTAAATTAAAACTTTAAATCTAAGTATAGAACTTGTTTTAAGAAAGAAAAATTTGAATATCGTTTTTTCTAAATTTTATATATCATAATGAAAAAATTACTGTAATGCTATTAAAAAAAAAGATTAAACATGTAAATGCTATTCTGCACAATTTGTTTTTTTTTATAAAAAAAAGAGTAAAAGTGCCATTTTGTATTGGTTAGTTATATGATAAATATTTGTATATTTATTGGTCAATTAGCATATATACTATTATATACTGTAAGTAAGAAATTTTATTAAAATTTGTAAATAGGCTGGCAAAAGGTTCTGTTATATAAAATATGTCTTTTTTTTATTGAGTCTATTATAATCATTTAAATTATTTATTAAAAATTTGATACATTAAATTTAGTTCATTAAATCTGTGAATTTGATATAAGGATATCTGTTATATACATAGTTGACTGTATGTAATTATATAGAAGTTTATATTTTAAATTTTGTTTCAGTTATGCTAATAATATAATATTGTCAGTATTGGCAAATAGAACAATAGAACAAAAGCTTAATTTTTTGTATTTATATAAAAAAAATTTTTTTTATTAATAAATTGCAATTATTTAAATATATATTGTTAGACCATTAGTAAAATAATAAATTTAAAATATTTTTATATTTAATTAGTAAAATTTAATAGTAAAAATTTATAATTGAAAAATGAAAAAAATAAATAGAATTAGAAGCCAATAGAACAAATATAGTAAATATAACAACACTGAATATTATGATTTTTTATAAAATTCAAGCCATATTTAAAATTTTAGTTTATTATAAAAGTATTGTACATTGTTGATATTGTTTTTTTTTGGTGTTAAGGTAGCCTTTTTGGTCTTTTGAATTTTATTAATAACTTATTGGTAATATGATTCAATAAACTACTATAGAAAAGAGTACAATTGGCTATACATGTAACTTTTTATATTACCTGTTTAAGAAGTCTGCCTAGAGGTTCTCTACCAATTGCTATATCTAATACCTTTGCTTAGGTGTTCTATTTTGAACTTTTTGAACCTGTAACTTGTGTTAATTCACTAAGTTATATCCAGATGCTCAGATTATAGTCTTAACCTTAGAACTGATTTATCTTTAAAGTAAACTTCCTAAAGCCTTCTGTATTTATTTTTACAGCTAACCTAAGTATTACTATAGCAGAACCAATATTTATAATTAGGACTTAACTATTAAACTGTTATACCTTTATAGAGTTTATTCAGATTCTAGCATCTACTTCACAGCATAACCCTAATACTTTAGTATATTTCTAAATTTTATCAGACTTTTAATTCAGATAGCCTATATAGAACTATAACTAGTCTATCAGTATATTAGGTCAGCCCAATATTCTTTTTTTCTAATAGTCTGGTTGGTGGTACTTCTAGGACTTCTAACTCAGAGATTCTTGCCTGTCTAATTACTAAGACCTAGGTATCTATTTCTCTAAGCTAGTCTTTACAGTAGCACTATCAAAGATCTAGCTACTTCTCTATTTGAGTCTTCTTAAATGAACTTCTTGTTACCTAATTTCAATGAATTTACATGGCCACAAGGACTTATCTAGTGTTTGTACTGCTCAGTTGTCAGTTTGTATTTCTCTGTGTAACTTCAATATTGCACAGATGTTCTATAACCTGTCAGTTATGCTGATGCAATTGCCATTACAGGTATTCTAATTCAATTATTAGTAGCAGTTGCTATAATATGAATATTATATAGGTGATTATTTAAATTTTCACTGTCGATGGAATTTGAATACTCAATCTACTACTTGAAAGGTTGACAACCTGATTACTTTACTAAATTGCTACATATTTTAATATTGTTTTTTTTGTCTTAAGCAATTATGCTAGTACTTTATTAAGATTTTTTATTTTTTATTTTTTTATTAAACTAGTCTTTTTTAAAACTGAAGCTTTTTATTTAGTAATTAGAATATAAGAACTTATAGCCAAGATCTCAAAAAAGTATTTTTTACATTAGAGAATACAACTAGCCATATATATATTTTTGGTGTCTAATTTAAATAATCTACTAATAGTTCTATACTAGCTGTCATATCTGCAACCCAACTAAGAACATTGTTTATTTAAACTCATTGTATTGTAATCCTTACTATATTACTAGATCATCTCCAATATACATATCAGTTAAGAAGGTCTAAATGCTTACTCATAGCCTTAGGATCTCATATCTTATTTTATACAATATATCTTTAGAAGCATCATTACTAAAGCTTTTCATGTTCTATATATAGCTAATTTAGTTTTATATAATACATTATAATTATCTAATACTTGTAGTCAGAGCTAACCTTAAATTATTATGTTATATTATTTCTATTTTTGTAAAATTTATCTAAACTTTGATATCTATTTTTCTAATATCTTCTTTATTATTCTCTACTAATTGCAACTCAAATCTAATTAACTCTTTAGACTTCTAATTTAGATAGCCCAGTATGATATATCTTAGTATTTTTTTTTTTGGTAATTCTAATAACCTGATTAATCATATACTCCTTTATACATTTTTGTCATTTGGTTTATCTGTCTATTCATATAAAGATGCTTTGTGAACTTTTATTAGTTCAACAGCATTATTGAAAGTTTATACTACTTTTTTACTCAGAAATTTCTAAGTAGAATTTTGTTTTCTTGATTTTTTAGTCTTCTGCAATTAGATTTTATCATAGATTTGCACTAAAGTTTTATGCAATATTAGTTATTAATATTTCTCTATATATATATAATATTATACTTCATATAGATGCCTCAAGCTCCTAATAACAAGTAGAATTCAATTTGGTATATCTGGATTACAGTCAAATAAGACTAACTAATTAACAGAAGACAGTTTTTGTAATACAAATTAATTTTCAAATTTTGTTGTAAATGAGATTTAAATCTTAGACCTGCTACTTGGAGAATAACAATCTAATTAATATACTAGAATTGCTATTCTTCTTTATTAAAATTTTTAAAACTAAATACATATATAATTATATAGAATTTTTTAATATTTAAGCTTAACATTACTTAGTTATTCTAATGATATTTAAGTACAATCTGCTGCACTATCTTAATTAGAGATAGATTGCTTATCTAACTACTTAAAGCTATACTA